AAAAAAAAAAAAAAAAAAAAAAAAAAAAAAAATAAAAAAAAAAAAAAAAAAAAAATAAAAAAAAAAAAAATATTAATGATGAAAAAAAATGAAAAAAATAATAAAAAAAAAAAAAAAACAAAAGAAAAAAAAAAAAAAAAAAAAAAAAAAAAAAAAAAAAAAAAAATATTAAAAAAAAAAAAAAAATAAAAAAAAAATAAAAAAATAAAAAAAAAAGAAAAAAAAAAAATAAAAAAAAAAAAAAAAAAAAAAAAAAAATGATATGATAAAATGATGATGATAATAATAGTAATAATAAAAAATAAAAAGATGATATTAATGATGATGATAATGATAATAGTAATAATAAAAAAAATAATTTAAAAAAAGATGAATGATAATGATATTAATGATGATGATAATGACAATAGTAATAATGATACTAATACCCAGATCAAGATATTTTTAAATGACAGTAATATTTTAGTATAGTTTTGACAGCCCTTCATGAACACTGATATACAAAGAAACATAGAAAAATGATGGCAGAAAAAAAGGCCAAGTGGTCCATTGAGTCTGCCATTTTTTTTTTTTTTTTTTTCAATATTTTTATTTCCCATTTTCTAAATAGCATAATATCAAGACATATCCGCAACTTATTATTATTTATTTCAGGTACTTATATAGCGCCATTAATTTACATAGCACTTTACATATATATTGTACATTCACATCAGTCCCTAACCCTCAAGGGGTGTACAATCTAAGGTCCCTAACCCTCAAGGGGTGTACAATCTAAGGTCCCTAACCCTCAAGGGGCGTACAATCTAAGGTCCCTAACCCTCAAGGGGCGTACAATCTAAGGTCCCTAACCCTCAAGGGGCGTACAATCTAAGGTCCCTAACCCTCAAGGGGCGTACAATCTAAGGTCCCTAACCCTCAAGGGGCGTATAGTCTAAGGTCCCTAAACCTCAGGTGGCGTATAGTCTAAGGTCCCTAACCCTCAAGGGGCGTACAATCTAAGGTCCCTAACCCTCAAGGGGCGTAATAGTCGTACAATCTAAGGTCACGTAACCCTCAAGGGGCGTACAATCTAAGGTCCCTAACCCTCAAGGTCCCTAACGTATAGCGTATAGTGTAAGGTCACTAACCCTCAAGGGGTTGTACAATCTAAGGTCCCTAACCCTCAAGGGGCGTATAGTCTAAGGTCCCTAACCCTCAAGGGGCATACAATCTAAGAAATTTTGGTAACGTTTTTTTTTAGATCTATGTTTGTCCCATGCATGTGTGAAGCTACTTACTGTTGACTTACTTTCCATCTTTCATTCACCAATCCTAAGAGGTCAGTACATACCTGTGCACTTTTGCATGTAAAAAAACTTGTTGAGGTTCAGCACACTGGGGGTGATTTACTAAAACTGCATGGTGCAAAATGTGGTGCAGCCCTGCCTAGAAACCAATTGACTTTCAGTTTTTTTGTCAAAGCTTAATTGAACAAACTGGAGTTAGATGCTGATTGGTTACCGTGCACGGCTGCACCAGATTCTGCACGCTCCAGTTGTAGTAAATCAACCCAACTGTAACCAAATAATTATTGCTGAAAGGGGCGTACCCATTGCTGTCCTTTATATTATTTATTAGTGTTTATTATCTAATATTATTATTGCTTAAGTCTTATAAATAGCATGTGCGCCATTGGATTGTTTGAGGAACTTGCGAATCTATATGTACAGTATCTATATGTATCTATATGTACAGTATTATATATGTATCTATATGTACAGATCTATATGTATCTATATGTACAGTATATATATATGTATCTATATGTACAGATCTATGTGTATCTATATGTACAGTATATATATATGTATCTATATGTACAGATCTATGTGTATCTATATGTACAGTATATATATATGTATCTATATGTACAGATCTATGTGTATCTATATGTACAGTATCTATATGTATCCATATGTACAGTATCTATATGTGTATTATATGTACAGATCTATGTGTATCTATATGTACATATCTACATGTATCAATATGCACAGATCTATATGTATCTATATGTACAGTACTATATGCACAGATCTTATGTGTATCTATATGTACAGTATCTATATGTATCAATATGCACAGATCTATATGTATCTATATGTACAGATCTATGTATCTATATGCACAGATCTATGTGTATCTATATGTACAGTATCTATATGTATCAATATGCAAAGATCTATATGGTATCTATATGTACATATCTATATGTATCTATATGTACAGATCTATGTGTATCTATATGTACAGTATCTATATGTACTATATGTACAGATCTGTATGTATCTATATGTACATATCTATATGTATCTATATGCACAGATCTATATGTAATCTATATGCACAGATCTATATGTATATCTATATGTACAGATCTATATGTATCTATATGTACAGTATCTATTTGTATCTATATGCACAGATCTATATGTATCTATATGTACAGTATCTATGTGTATCTATATGTACAGTATCTATATACAGTTATGTGATCTATATGCACAGGTCTATATGTATCTATCTGCACAGATCTATATGTATCTATATGTACAAATCTATATGTATCTATATGTATCTATATGTATCTATATGCACAGTATATATGTATCTATATGTACAGATCTATATGTATCTATATGCACAGATCTGTATGTATCTATATGCACAGATCTATATGTATCTATATGTACAGATCTATATGTATCTATATGTACAGTATCTATATATGTATCTATATGCACAGATCTATATTTATCTATATGCACAGATCTGTATGTATCTATATGTACAGTATCTATATGTATCTATATGTACAGATCTATATGTATCTATATGCACAGATCTATATGTATCTATATGCACAGATCTATATGTATCTATATGCACAGATCTATATACAGATCAGTATCTATATGTATCTATATGCACAGATCTATATGTATCTATATGCACAGATCTATATGTATCTATATGCACAGATCTATATGTATCTATATGCACATTATCTATATGTATCTATATGCACAGATCTATATGTATCTATATGCACAGATCTATATGTATCTATATGCACAGATCTATATGTATCTATATGCACAGATCTATATGTATCTATATGCACAGATCTATATGTATCTATATGCACAGATCTATATGTATCTATATATGCACAGATCTATATGTATCTATATGCACAGATCTATATGTATCTATATGCACAGATATGTATGTATCTATATGCACAGATCTATATGTATCTATATATAGTATCTATATGTATCTATATGCACAGATCTATATGTATCTATATTACAGATCTATATGTATCTATATGTACAGATCTATCTATGTGTATCTATATGCACAGATCTATATGTATCTATATGCATGTCATGTATCTATATGCACAGATCTATGTATCTATATGTACAGATCTATATGTATGTTTTCTATATGCACAGATCTGTATGTATCTATATGCACAGATCTATATGTATCTTATATGTACAGTATCTGTATGTATCTATATGCACAGATCTGTATGTATCTATATGCACAGATCTATATGTATCTATATGTACAGTATCTGTATGTATCTATATGCACAGATCTATATGTATCTATATGTACAGTATCTATATGTATCTATATGCACAGATCTATATGTATCTATATGCACAGATCTGTATGTATCTATATGCACAGATCTATATGTATCTATATGTATAGTATCTATATGTATCTATATGCACAGATCTATATGTATCTATATGTACAGTATCTATATTTATCTATATGTACAGATCTATATGTATCTATATCTATATGTATCTATATGTATAGTATCTATATTTATCTATATGCACACAGATCTATATGTATTTTACAAATCTTATCATTTCCAGCTATAAATATTAGTTCAAATAATTAACTTCTTTTTTAAAGGAATTTTTAAAAATGATCCCGCAGAATAATGTACAATTACAAAGCGGATGCACTCTGAATGCGGTAACAAGGCCAGTCTATAGGATCATATAAGTCATTATTTTGAATATTAGGTACATGAGGTTCCTATGCCGCGTGCAGACAACAAGCCTGGGGAAGGGAGATTGCGAACCCCTGGATTTTCTCGCCGTTTTCACCTGATTTTCATTCCAGTTACCTGAAGTGATGTTATACACTCCTCTCCTCACTGTGCAGTGCCAATAAAGTAGAAAGGCAGCAATGAGGATTGGTGCTATTGATCTGCCCAAGGGGATCATTAGACATCACTATCAATCTACAAATCAGTAGGCCTGTGTTACTTGCTTGGGCAGTCATTGCCAATTTGTTCCTATTACATAGCCGAGCCCGGAGGTGTTTGATGAGTAGATCTAGTCTTGAGCTCCGCGCTGCCGAGAATACACATTTAATGTTGATGAAACGTTAAAGGGACTTTAAGGCTGCTTTTACAGAAACCTATTTCCGTCTATAACACGCGTTACTTTTTTTTTTTTTAATTTTTCCTGCAAACTGCAATTGATTGGCTGTCTGCAGACATGAGGACCTGTTAACAATTGTTTAAAACCACCCATGTATACCTTCCCTCCGTATCCTATTTTATACCATTTTATTTTTTTATTTTCTAAAAAACAAAAAATTAAAATCTCTCTCTAAATGTTCTGCTAGGGAGCCAATGTCACATTTGAGTGAAAAAAACAAAGAGAAGGATCTGCCATAATATCCATGGAGAGGGGGGGTAGTAAGCAATGAAGAACCCTTTCCTAAGGGGGGCCTATAGATGCAGTGAGCCCAGACCCAACAGAAATGGAGGGGGGTGTCAAATTATATTATTCTGCATAAATAAACCAAGAAATAAATTATTAGCATTATGTCAATAAATATATAAAATAAATATATATATATATATAGCTCAGGCACAGATATTTATTTAATCTAATCTTGACTATTGTAACTCCCTCCTCATTGGCCGACCTCATCGCAGGCTATCCCCTCTTCAGTTATCATGAATGCTGCTGCCAGACTCACCCACCTTACTAACTGTTCTGTATCCGCCACCCCTCTCTGCCAATCCCTCCACTAACCTCCATTCAGTGTCCTCCATCCCCTCTCTGCCAATCCCCCACTGGCCTCCATTCAGTGTCCTCCACCCCTCTCTGCCAATCCCTCCACTGGCCTCCACTCAGTGTCCTCCACCCCTCTCTGCCAATCCCTCCACTGGCCTCAATTCATTGTCCTGCACCCCTCTCTCTGCCAATCCCTCCACTGGCCTCCATTCAGTGTCCTCCACCCCTCTCTGCCAATCCCCCACTGGCCTCCACTCAGTGTCCTCCACCCCTCTCTGCCAACCCCCCCACTGACCTCCACTTAGTGCCCTCCACCCCTCTCTGCCAATCCCTCCACTGGCCTCCACTTAGTGTCCTCCACCCCTCTCTGCCAATCCCTCCACTGGCCTCCATTCAGTGTCCTCCATCCGTCTCTGCCAATCCCTCCACTGGCCTCCACTCAGTGTCCTCCACCCCTCTCTGCCAATACCTCCACTGGCCTCCACTCAGTGTCCTCCACCCCTCTGCCAATCCCTCCACTGGCCTCCACTCAGTGTCCTCCACCCCTCTCTGCCAATCCCTCCACTGGCCTCCACTCAGTGTCCTCCACCTCTCTCTGCCAATCCCTCCACTGGCCTCCAATCAGTGTCCTCCACCTCTCTCTGCCAATCCCTCCACTGGCCTCAATTCAGTGTCCTCCACCCCTCTCTGCCAATCCCTCCACTGGCCTCCATTCAGTGTCCTCCACACCCCTCTCTGCCAATCCCTCCACTGGCCTCCACTCAGTGTCCTCCACCCCTCTCTGCCAACCCCCCCACTGACCTCCACTTAGTGTCCTCCACCCCTCTCTGCCAATCCCTCCACTGGCCTCCACTTAGTGTCCTCCACCCCTCTCTGCCAATCCCCCACTGGCCCTCCATTCAGTGTCCTCCACCCCTCTCTGCCAATCCCTCCACTGGCCTCCCAGTGTCCTCCACCCCTCTCTGCCAATCCCTCCTCTGGCCTCCATTCAGCCTCCATCCCTCCACTGCCTCCCTCCACTCAGTGTGTCCTCCACCCCTCTCTGCCAATCCCTCCATTGCCCTCCACTTAGTGTCCTCCACCCCTCTCTGCCAATCCCTCCATTGACCTCCACTTAGTGTCCTCCACCCCTCTCTGCCAATCCCTCCATTGACCTCCACTTAGTGTCCTCCATCCCCTCTCTGCCAATCCCTCCACTGGCCTCCACTCAGTGTCCTCCACCCCTCTCTGCCAATCCCTCCACTGACCTCCACTCAGTGTCCTCCATCCCTCTCTGCCAATCCCTCCACTGGCTTCCCGTTCCCCAACGGATAAAATTCAAAACATTAACAACAACATATAAAGCCATTTATAACTCTGCCCCAAATTACATCACCGATCTTGTCTCTAAATATCACCCAAACCATACTCTCCCGCTCCTTGCACGACCTCCTGCTCTCTAGCTCCCTTGTCTCCTCCTCCCATGCTTGTCTCCAGGACTTCTCCAGAGCTTCCCCCATCCTCTGGAACTCTCCACCCCAATCTATCAGAATATCGCCTACTCTGCTCACTTTTAGGCGATCTCTGAAAACCGATCTCTTCAGGGAAGCCTATCCTGCCCTCAGCTAATACTGGAATCTTCTACTCTTCCAACCAGTCCATCCCCCACAGTTACTACCTTTTGTACCACCAGCCCCTCCCTCCTAGATTGTAAGCTCCCAGGATCAGGGCCCTCCTATCCCTCTTGTATTGATCTGTATTGTCTCCCGTTATATTGTAAAGCGCTGAGCAAACTGTTGGAACCATATAAATCCTGTATAATAATAATAATATAAATCCTGTATAATAATAATAATATAAATCCTGTATATAATAATAATATAAATCCTGTATAATAATAATAATAATATAAATCCTGTATAATAATAATAATATAAATCCTGTATAATAATAATAATAATAATATAAATCCTGTATAATAATAATAATATAAATCCTGTATAATAATAATAATAATAATAATATATAAATCCTGTATAATAAATAATAATAATAATAATAATAATATAAATCCTGTATAATAATAATAATAATATAAATCCTGTATAATAATAATAATAATAATAATATAAATCCTGTATAATAATAATAATATAAATCCTGTATAATAATAATAATAATAATAATAATAATAATATAAATCCTGTATAATAATAATAATATAAATCCTGTATAATAATAATAATAATAATAAATATAAATCCTGTATAATAATAACAATAATAATAATAATAATATAAATCCTGTATAATAATAATAATATAAATCCTGTATAATAATAATAAAAATCCTGTATAATAATAATATAAATCCTGTATAATAATAATAATAATAATAATATAAATCCTGTATATAATAATAATAATAATATATAAATCCTGTATAATAATAATAATAAAATCCTGTATATAATAATAATAATAATAAAATCCTGTATAATAATAATAATATAAATCCTGTATAATAATAATAATAATAATAATGTAATCACTTAGAAAGCTATTGGTACACTTAAAGAGTAACTGCACTTTTGTGGGGGCAAAAAATTGCAAATAAAAAAAAATAATAATATAGTGTATAAATGCATCGGAACTGTAGACTTTGCAACTTGAAATCAACAATCAACATTTAAAGGGCACCTCCACTTTCGTGGGGAATAAAATTAGCAAATAACAAAAAAATAACATAGTGTATATCATTTTGACACATTGTAATTGAATGTTATTAAAAATTCCCTTTTCTTTTCAATCTGCAGCTGCTGTAATTTTCTGTAAAATGGAATATGACGACCTGGAGGCGTCCTGCACACAGATGGTAAACAGAACGTCCCCAGAAATGTCATTTTCTGCTCGTGTGATTGGCTCACTGTCTTTCCCAGAAGTCTGCACTTAGATACAAGTCAGATTTTGAGAATTCCCTGAACAAAAATTTCATTTTTGACGAGATACTCCCAAAGGGAAATCACCTCTAAAGGGATGCAGACCCCGCCGCTTTCCTCATTAGAGCCCTTCAAGTGCAGTAGCTGATTGATAATTATAAATTTGCTCCCATTTACAGTCACTCTGCACAGGACACAGACAAACAAACAGCTGTTTCTTCAGAGTAACAAAAGGTAGGAATCTGCAACAACCTTTGTTTCAAACCCTGCTGTGTACATTGATCATCCAGAGGGGAATGTTTTTTTTCTCAACAAAAGAGTAACTCCACTTTTGTTGAGAAACACACATACCCGTCTGGATGATCAATGCACATCGCAGGGATTGTAACAAACATTGTTGCAGATTCCTGCCTTCTGTTATTCTGAAGATATTGCCATTTGTTTGTCTGTGTTCATGTGCAGAGGGAATCTGTATGGGAGCAGTTTCATAATTATCAAGCTGCTGCTGCACCTGCAGGTCTCTCATGAGGAAAGCGGCGGGGTCTGCATCCCTTTAGACCTTATTTCCCTTTTGGGAGTAACTCAACAAAAATTACATTTTTGTTGCAGGAATTGTTCAAAATGTGACTTGTGCAGACTTCTGGGAAAATCAGTGAGCCAATCACACAAGCAGGAAATGACACTTCTGGGGGGCGTTCTGTACACCATCTTTGTACAGAACACTTCCAGGCGGCCATATTGCATTTTACAGAAAATTACAGAATAAAAGAAAAGGGAATTTTTAATAACATTCAATTACAATGTATCAAAATTATATACACTATGTTATCATTTTCTTTGCTAATTGTATTCTCCACAAAAGTGGAGGTACCCTTTAAATGTTGATTATTTATTTCAGGTACTTATATAGCGCTGTCAGTTTAAGCCGCGGTTTACATATATATTGTACATTCACATCAGTCCCCGCCCCCGAGGGGCGTACAATCTAAGGTCCCTAACTCACATTCATACATACACATACTAGGGACAATTTAGAAAGGAGCCAATTCACCGACCAGCATGTCTTTGGAGTGTGGGAGGAAACTGGAGTACCAGAAGGAAACCCACACAGGCACAGGGAGAACATGCAAACTCCATGTAGGTGGTTCCACTTTACATATATATTGTACATTCACATCAGTCCCTAACCCTCAAGGGGCGTACAATCTAAGGTCCCTAACTCACATCCATACATACACATACTAGGGACAATTTAGACAGGAGCCAATTACCTACCAGCATGTCTTTGGAGGGTGGGCGGAAATCAGAGTACCAGGAGGAAACCCACGCAGGTACAACATGCAAACTCTATGTAGGTGGTTCCACTTTACATATATATTGTACATTCACATCAGTCCCCACCCCCAAGGGGCGTACAATCTAAGGTCCCTAACTCACATTCATACATACACATACTAGGGCCAATTTAAACAGGAACCAATTCACCTACCAGCATGTCTTTGGGAGGAAACTGGAGTACCAGAAGGAAACCCATGCAGGCACAGGGAGAACATGCAAACTCCATGTAGGTGGTGCCACTTTACATATATATATTGTACATTCACATCAGTCCCTAACCCTCAAGGGGTGTACAATCTAAGGTCCCTAACTGACATTCATACATACACATACTAGGGCCAATTTAGACAGGATCCAATTCTCCTACCAGCATGTCTTTGGACTGTGGGAGGAAACCGGAGTACCCGGAGGAAACCCACACAGGCACAGGGAGAACATGCAAACTCCAGGCAGGTGGTGCCGTGGTTGGGATTTGAACCAACGGCCCCAGTACTGCCAGGCGGAAGGGCTAACCATTTAGCCACTGTGCTGCCCTTTATTGATTTCAAGTTGCAAAGTCTACAGTTGCAATGCATTTATTGGATCACTTCTTGCTGCTGTTTTAAAATGGCTAAGTCAACTCTTTCACTGTGGAAGGGGGCAGCTTGTCAATTATTTTTTTTATTGGCTCACATATACGTATGTAGATTTGTTCGGCCTGCAGAAAGTCATACATCTAGGATTGCCTGGATCCCTGAATGGCGTGATTCTGCTTAGATCAGACAAACATAAAATGAGCACATGGTGATTTATTAGTGGGAATGCCTTGAATTGGAGGTGAAAGGGACAAGGGACCCTCTACTACTTTTTGTGTAGGGCCCTCAAACATGGGTATGCCTTTCATTACTTTGAGGTGCCATTGTTGTGCATGAAATACCTGACAGTAGTTACATTTGTGCAGGGAAGGATTGTAGAGCCGCTTTGCTCATTAGACTGGCTGCCTTCTCATCATACCTTCAGCCTTGACCAGATCCACGAAAGATCAGCTTGTTCATCTGGCATATCTATTCATTGTTCAGTGCTGTCAGG